TTCAAAAAACAATATTACAATAAAAGCCTTTCGATTTTTAAATTCACTAAAAATCAATACGATTAACTTTTAAAAACTTAATTTTATTTAAAGAAAAAAAATACTATATGAAAAAGAAAAAGGCGTCATAAAGCTGTTTTATAATCGGTATGTTTCCATTTTATTCAACTTGTTATTGATTATCGATGTTACTATTTTTTTTTATAAATCATATAGTTATTTTGATGTCATTTCTTACCTGTAAAGAACAAAAAGGAATATCAGCGTTAATACGAAAAATAATTAATATCTCGACGAAACTATCTTCTTTCAGAAACAGTACTCTTACAGCAACCCATGATCGCAAAACGGAAACTGGTATAGCATAATGCTATGAATGAGACAGATATTAACCGAAGGTAAGAATTATTATTATCATCAGTGATACCTTCTTAAAGAAAATTCCTAGTGCAATGGAGATAATATATAAATATATATTACAATTAAAATCAATTTATTTATTCGAATTTTACTTTTAATATTTTAATTTATTAATATTAATTGTTGATACTATTCATTATCTTATTTAATAATATGAAAACAACTAAAAAATATATTTGAAGATAGTTAATTTGCTTCAATTATATCACTTATCTTAACAGTAGTACCAATATTTCAATATTTTTAGATAATTTAGTGTTAATTTATTGTATGAGAAAAATAGAATACTTTATATTTTATTTAAGTTTATTCATAATTATATAAAATTATAAATAAATATTATTTTTACTGATTTTTTTTATCATATTTTTATTTTTAAATATTTTTGGTTATATATATATATATTTCTTATAAATTGTTGTATTCTTTTTTGTTACGTTCATAATTTATAATATAATTTATACTTTAAATGTGATAGTGCGACTTATCAAAGATTATATTTAGAATTCTTTTATAGAAAACATTTTTTACTATATTTATTATATTCTTATATATTGAATTAATTTTTAATAATAAAATAATAAAAACAAAATGTACAAACAAAAAAAATAATATATATCTTATGCATACATTTATATTATTTTATATATCATATTATAAAATAAAATTCATATATATATATATATATATATCTATATATATATTATAAATATAATATATATATATATATATATATATATTATAAATTCCATTTTG